TATTCTGTTTGCCACCTGCAGTGACCTCTGCCTGTGACCACGACTACGCTATCCGCTTGTTAAGTAGTGACGTATGTAATTCTGTTTTCGGGTCCAAGCCACTACTCATTTGAAGAATTGAGAAAATATTTGTTTATGGCCACGAATTTCTTTATTTAACACATTAATATATAAAAATCATAGTGTACACATCAGTCTCTGGACTTGCTGCATCACAAAAACGAAAATAACATTATAATTTTAACAATTTACAAAAAAAAAAAAAAATCACTTTCTGGCCATCGGATATTAACCTTGGATATATATATATATATATTGTTGTAATGATTACCAGCGATCATTTCCCATATGATCGCTGGTTTACAATAGCAATAACCATGGACTACAAATCCGCCATTTCTGGACTACATATTCATACATGCACTCCGGTCACTCTCACACATGCTTCCTTATCTTCCTTACATTCACACCACCTTAGGATTGTCAGAGACTGATTAACACACACTATTTAAGCCACACATTCACCCCTTCAGAGTCTTGTTATCTGTCACAGTAGCATTACAACGCGTTTCCCAATCTTGTTATCTTGTGTACCGACCGTTAGCCTTGTTAGCCTCTTTGTCTTTGTCTTTGCCTGCCGCCTGCCTTTCTGACCTCTTGCCTGTATTCGACTGTGATTCTGGATTGTCCTCACACACCTGTTTGCACCTGTGTTGACCACCGCTTGCCTGACTGTGAATAAACCTGCATATTGGATCTTACCTCAGTTGTTGGTGTTACTCCCCGACGTTACAATTGTGATCGTGATTTTCGAAAGTATTACATCAATTTGTAAATGTTTATTGTTACTATTTCATGAGTCTCCCCATACAGTTTGATAGAGTGCTTGAACCCGGATGCCGCTTTGCGTGACATCACACCTAACAAGCGGATTGGATTACCCTCATGATTCCATTTGCTCCTGTTTGACCATCGCCTGCCTGACTAATCTCCGTTGTCATCCGAGTCCTAGTGTTACAGATATAATATTTATATAAAAAACTATATATAAATAATTTTACCAGTTTAGACTATTTTGACTTCATTCAGTTTTTATTTTAAATGTTCTGTATTCATTTGATATTTTTTATTATTGTTAAACAATTGTTTTAAATATTAATATTTTCAGTATAGTTTTTCATATTATTTTTTTATTATTGTTTTTACTATTATGAATATTTATTTGCATTCATAATTACATTTTATTTAATTTAATGTTTTAAGGTTTTATTTAATGTTTTATTTAATGTTTTAAGGTTTTATTTAATTTAATGTTTTATTTAATGTTTTAAGGTTACATCAATTTGGTTTAAAAGAAAAAAGAAACTCAAAAATCTGTATTAAATGTTTATTTTTCGGGTGAACTGCCCCTTTAAATTATACTGTACTTGAACAAGACATTTTTTTCCCTCTCCTACAAGGTATTCAGCAGTTTGTTGTTGACTCGAGCGTGTGAAGAGATCTTATTTCCAGACCTGTAGGAGACGGTGAATTCAGGAGGTTTGTTTGCTGACTGATATGTTGTATATATGTTATCTGCTGTCAGAGGTCACAGCCCAATAATAGTCTCCAGAATGGGCATTGACGTGCTGTTCTGGACGGAGATGGCGTGATTTAAGCAGCGATACGCTCAGACAGGAAGGCTTTTGTGAGATTTCCCACTGCTTGTTATTCTTATGGATGTATTATACCCAAAACGTTTGACTCTAAACGGTGCTGTCAGCTTCCCTTCTCATTGACTCATGAACACATGGTGGAGGACACCTCTGACCTGACGCTTTAACAATAACCCACAATATACAGTTGAAGTCAAGATTATTCGCCATCCTGTAAATTGTTTTTCCTTTTCCCAAATGATGTTGAACAGATTCAGGAATTTTTCACAGTATTTCTGGAGAAAGTCTTGTTTGTTTTATTTCGGCTAGAATAAAAGCAGTTTTTAATTTTATTAAACCCACTTTAAGGTCAATATTATTAGCCTCCTTAAGCAATTTTTGTTTTCCAGTGTTTACACAGTTTTTCCTATTGACTGTCAATTAAATGTAATGATTTCAACATGTTTAAAGGTAAAATAAGTATTTTATGCATGACATTATTTTGCTCACTTATCTTTCATGAAAGCATATATTACAAAAATAAGCTATTTCACTATATTTTCACCCTTTTAAATTAACATTCCCTATAGGATGCTTTGCAATAATATATTTGTGCATATACATCAGATTATTCAGCATACTAAAGCCAAAATTGGAACTAATCTAACACAAAAACTCACCACGGTTAAAAAATTAGTACACTTAAATCAATATGCTGGGGAAAAATACTAAACACGGGTTTCTCCAATCTTCTATTGTCCAGTTTTGGTGAGTCTGTGTGAATTGTAGCCTCAGTTTCCTGTTCTTAGCTGACAGGAGTGGCACCCGGTGTGCTCTTCTGCTGCTGTAGCCCATCCGCCTCAAGGTTGGCCGTGTTGTGTGTTCAGAGATGCTCTTCTGCAGAGCTCGGTTGTAACGAGTGCTTATTTGAGTTACTGTTGCCTTTCTATCAGCTGGAACCAGTCTGGCCATTCTCCTCTGACCTCTGGCCTCATCAACAAGGCATTTGCGCCCACAGAACTGCCGCTCACTGAATATTTCCTCTTTGTCAGACCATTCTCTGTAAAGCCTAGAGATGGTTGTGCATGAAAATCCCAGTAGATCAGCAGTTTCTGAAATACTCAGAGCAGCCCGTCTGGCAGCAACAATCATGCCACATTCAGAGTCACTTAAACCCCCTTTCTTCCCCATTCTAATGCTCACTTTGAACTTCAGCAGATCGTCTTGACCATGTCTACATGCCGAAATGCATTAAGTTGCTGCCATGTGATTGGCTGATTAAAATCTTGCGTTGACGAGCAGATGAACAGGTGTACCTAATACATACATACATACATATATATATATATATATATATATATATATATATATATATATATATATATATATATATATATATATATATATATATATATATATATATATATATATACTGTAAATATATATAATATTATTATATAATAAATAATAATAAAGAACAAATAGTATAATATATATATATATATATATATATATATATATATATATATATATATATATATATATATATATATATATATATATATATATGACAACCCTAACAGTCTACTGATAATCTTATGAGAATTAGTTGGCTTGTAGATGCAATGTAACTTAATTTAACAAACGGACCCAAAAAAAATATAAATAAACATAAAGTGTGACCAAAATGATTGGTCATATTCACTGAGAAATGGATAAAATAGTTAATTTTCAAAAGGAGGGGGACTCATTTATGCTGAGCACTGTATTTGCATCCTACAATTTGAAACACACATGGCATGTGTATAAAGATTCCATATAGTGGCTGGCATGTGAATGAACATAACATACTAACATTGAATATGTTATTACAGGATTGTAGTGGGGAATTGTATTGATCACCTTTCATCATTATCATCATTACATCCTGTGTTTGACTGAAAATCCAAAGCCGTTCACAGCCGATGGGCCACACACTAGGGTCAAGCCCACCAGCCCACCAGAGGAATCTAGGACAGAGCTTTACTAAAGGCAGAATATTGATTGTGGTTGTTAAATATTCTGCTCTGTGACCTCACGAATAATCATAGTAGACTGTAATAAATATACTTAAATTAGCAGTTTTCCCTATTTTGTGATTTATGTTTTTATTTTTCCTCGCTTGTTTCTGCTTTTGAATTGAATTATGGGATCTTGAGCTCTTATCCAACAACGTTTACCCTTGAAAAGTTAGAAAAAGTGACATGTGTGATAGTTTTGCAGTGCTATACTGTCTGGGTTGGTGTTGTATATTATGCTATAGAAACCTTGTAATAAACTGACAGCAAATTTTCTGTCATTTTACAGACTCATTTCTCGATTTCTTTTTTCTTATATGTTATATTATTATTAAAATGTCAATAAAAGTCACTTTGTTAAACTGTAGAGTTGATTTTTTAACCTTAAAAGTGGACAGAGCAGAGATCAACATCTCATATTGCAATTCACAACAGTAAATAAATGGAAAATTAATAGGGAAACTGTTAATCAACCAATAACAAGTAGAACGAATCTAGATAATGTACTTTATTATATATAATATATATATATATATATACATATATATATATATATATATATATATAAGTGTGTGTGTTTGTGTGTGTGTGTGTGTTTGTGTGTGTGTGTGTGTGTGTGTGTAAGGAAAATATTAATACAGTATTATTTATTCTAGCTAGTTTTTAATTTTACTTTAGATTTTGTGATAATTTTACATGGTTTATTTTATTTTTAGTTATTTTGTTATTTACACATTTGTTATTTAAAAATTAATAATACTTAACGACTAATCACTTATATTAATATTACATTTATTTATTTTTTATTTTAGTATAATATTTTACATGTGTTTGTAGTTAAAATACATTTTAATAAACAAAAAAATAATTAGTTGTTCCAATTTATACATTTTAGACCTTTATTTATATATTTTAAAGTTTTGTTATTATATTTTACATTTTATTTCAGCTTTATCTTCATAAACAAAAATATTCTAATTACTTATAAGAGTATATTAAATTTATAAGTCTTCATTTACTTTTCTTCATTGTCAGTTTTAGGTTTAATCGTTTTCTAATGTGCTTTTTTCCTTTTTAGTGCTGTTAAATAATTTTAATAGTTTTGAATAATGCTATTTTCGCTAATGGTTTGCATATTTTTATATTCAAAATTATTTATTTCAATAACAAAATAGCATTATCAACATGCATATATAATGCGACATTTGCATATTTTTGATTGAATAGTACCATACAGCTCTCTTAGTAGCTATAATGTGTAGTACAAAAGCACACATACAACCCATTCACACAAATCTATGTATCTTCATAGCACTGGTGTCCAGCAGTCAGGTGGTTGCTGATGCCGTACCTTTAAATTCCAAACCCCGCCCACATATGCAAAACACGCTCCATATCCATCGGCGGAAGCGGCTCTCGTCTGTCACACAGATCCTGCCTTTAAAGGCGCATTATAACCGCGGCTGAAGAGCAGAGCAGAGCAGCAGCGCAACACAACAACAGCCGCTCTGACAGACAGAAATAAACACACTAACAGCAGCGCGCGGTGACGTCAGGGTGAGTCTGTTTACATTCGATACATTGTAGCGTTTGCGCTGCGGCGGCTTGTTTGATCTGCTGATTGATGCGTGCGCGCTGTCATCCTTCACATCTGATTCGTCATCATTCATCTGCACTGATGTCAGCAGCTGATTGGTCCCCTTATCACTGCGGTATCTTCCTTGGTTCGCGTCTTCGCGCTTCTTCCAATGGGATGCGCTACTTTCCATTAGCTACAATAATAAAGATGGAAGCTATTAAATGTTTGAATGGTGCAGATGATGTTGACATTGAGGTAAATGCGGCGTTATAATCGCACATTTAGGACATTCTCCTCAATAATATAATGTCAGAAAAGTGTTCCTTGCCAATTCCAAATAGGGAAATAATATTAATAGCAGTAAACATTGTTCATAGTCAATTAAATAGTGCTGATGTTGTTTTGAAGTCGTATTTCAGACCTAATATTCAAATGAGCGTGGTAAACAGTATTAAAATGAACAAATTTAAGAATGTAAGACAAACTTTACCTCAAATGATGTTGACAGAACTTGTATGATCAATAACATTGAGGTAAAGTTAATTCATGTAATGCTCCCTATATTGTTTACCATGAATATAATTTGAATATAATCGCATGCAAGAATGACTTCAAAGCATCAACACTATTTTATTGACTGTCAACAATGTTGTACTTTGATAATCATTGACTGCCAATATGATTTGCAAATACTTTACTGCAATATTATTAAGGAGAAAGTCATTTCCCTCTAATGCTACATGGATATTATTAAATGTTTGTGGTTTGTTGCTGGTGCAGCTCCAGTAGATGATGTTGACAGTTCCTGAATGATCCATAAGTTGTCTGTAATAGATCTTATGAGGATGACAGTGGTTTTTATATAGCTCCCGATTTAAACTCTGCTGGTTTCTTGAGGTCAGTGTCTAAATGTGAAGCTGCTGGTGGGCAGAGATGGATGTCTGTTACACAACTGTGTGCGTTTATAATATATATATATATATCAATATATATATATTGATTTTTGGTTCTATATTCAAAAACTGCAAAATATGCAATATATATTTGAATATACTTTAATATTTTTTTATATTTAAAACTCGGGTGATTATTATGCTGAACATGTATCTACAAGTTTCATACATATTTAATTTGTTATTAATAAGAAAACATTTGTATTATTTATTTATATAATTAATAAAAAATAGAAAAAGCATGCAGTTTTTTAATATTATGTGTATTTATATTATTATTAATATAATACATATTTCAGACTTATTAATAGTATGTTTATTAAATATTAATTAATATATTATTGATTTTTTATTGATTATTGATTTTTTTTAGCACACAAAATCCCTCTTTTACCCTCAATTTCAGGAGAAATATCTGTTGTCATGTTTAAACATTAAATATGATGGACTTTACTGTGTTAATACCATGCTTTAAGCATATTTATCAACATTATCCATCTGAATCCCTATTGCACAAACTCTCTGTTTTACCCTGAATTTTAAGAAATATCTGGCATCCTCTTTAAAAATATGATGGGTTTTACCATGGTAATATCATGCTTTAGATATGTTTTTCCATCTGAATATCTTTAGAAACAACATTATTGAGGTAAAGTTGGTTTTATGTTTGCACATTTATTCATTTTTGATCAAAGTGATGCCACATGACACACTCCCTATATTGTTCACCATGCTACTTTGACTATTCGGTGTGAAATCACATGCAAGTATGACTTTAAAACAACATTAGCACTATTTAATTGACTGTACTTTTGATAGTCATTTGCTGGTTATGTGATTTCCATATTTAGAATTTGCAAAGAATACCTTTCTGAAGTTATATTAATAAGGGGAAAGTCTGAATGTGTGAATATAAAGCCAACTTTACTACGATCTGTTCACTTTGAATTGCACAAACTCGCTCTTTTACCCTGAATTTCAGGAGAAACATCTGCATCCTCTTTAAACATTATGACATATAATGCACTTTACCATGGTAATACCATGCTTTAAGCATGTTTATGAATATTATCCATCTCTTAAGATGCATTGCTTTTTTAATAAATTATTATTCAGAATATCACTATAAATAATAACGTGTGCTTTTTCATTTATTAATTCATTAATAATTTTTCATTTCATTAATCATGCAAACAAACACAGAAATCGGATGTTTTTCTGGGATTTATGGTCACACACACACTCCCAAAACAGCAAATTAAATAGTGCTCTGATGAAAAGTGCTGCTTTTGAAGGGGTTGCCGCTTTTGCATCTGTTTATTTGAATATGCAAATATGATATGAAGGCCAGTGTTCAGACTGGGCTGACGAGGCTGTTTCTGTTTGAGGAGCTTTATGACGGTGTGTTTGCGAGCCGCTTTCAGTCTTCTCATTCAGAACGCATTGAAATGCAAAGTGTGTGTGTTTGTTTGTGTGTGTTTTTGTTTGTGTGTGAGTTTTATGTGCATATGTTTTGTGTGTGTGTGTGTGTGTGTGTTGGGTTACTGCAGACTCCATGTGTTTGACTGACCCCTGTCTGTTCGTCTCTGCAGGTTCTCAGCCGCGTGTGTGTGTGTGTGTGGACAGAAGACACGTCGCTGCGCTCGTATGCAGTCTGACTGGATATTTATGAAGCTTTCAACGCCTTTTGGTGAGTCACACACAGTTTTTCTGCTGATAATTGCTCGGCTCTTGATGCTGATATCGTGTTTTCCAAAAATAAGACGTGAAGCCTGCATGTTACTATTTTTGTGCTGTTGGAGGGAGCCGCTCCACATTTATTCATTTTTATTTCATAATCGTCTTTGACTGCAATGCAGCAAAAATAATGTCCCTGTCTGATCTGTCTTAGTCAAACACAACATTAAACTCTGTGTTTCTATTAAGCCTCAGTTTCAAGGAGTTAACCTGCAAACTATTTAAAGAAGGAGATAGCAGCTACACGAAACATTGATTTATGTTTAAAATCAGGGCACCACGGTAACTCAGTGGCTAGCAGTGTCACTGAAGGTCGCTGGTTCGAGTCTTGGCTGGGTCAGTTGGTGTTTCTGTATGGAGTTTGCATGTTCTCCCTGTGTTGGCGTGGGTTTCCTCCGAGTGCTCTGGTTTCCCCCACAGTACAAACATATGCGCTATTGGGGAATTGAGGAACTAAATAAGCCGTAGTGTATGAGTGTGTGTGTGTGATTGTGTGTATGGGTGTTTCCCTGTACTGGGTTGGCATCCGCTGCATGAAACATATGCTGTAATAGTTGGCGGTTCGTTCCGCTGTGTCGACCTCTGATGAATAAGGTACTAAGCCGAAGAAAAATTAATGCAGTTGACTTTGTCCTTATTATATTTATATATTTTTTTCTGATCTTTATTTGAATTGTAATACAAATATGGATTAAATTAGTATTTGTTTATTAAAAATGTTGTGAATATAGGATTTATATATATATATATATTGATTTTTGGTTCTATATTTAAATACTGCAAAATATGCAATATATATTTGAATATACTTTAATATTTACTTTATATTTAAAACTCGGGTAATGATAATGCTGAACATGTATCTACAAGTTTTATACATATTTAATTTGTTATTAATAAGAAAACATTTGTATTATTTATTCATATAATTGATAAAAAAGCATGCAGTTTTTTCATATTCTGTGTATTTATATTATTATTAATAATATACATATTTCAGACTTATTAATAGTGTGTTTATTATATATTAATTAATATATTATTGATTTTTTTTATAAATATATGTATTATTTTTGGCGACACGGTGGCTCAGCGGTTAGCACTGTGGCCTGACAGCAAGAAGGTCACTGGTTCGAGTCCTGGATGGGTCAGTTGGTGTTTCTGTGTGGAGTTTGCATGTTCTCCCATGTTGGTGTGGGTTTCCACCAGGTGCTCCGGTTTCCCCACAGTCCAAACACATGCGCTATAGGGGAATTGATTAACTAAATTGGCTGTAGTGTATACGTGTGAATGGCTGTTTCTTATGCTGGAATAGTTGGTGATTCATTCCACTGTGGCGACCCCTGATGAATAAAGGAAAAGGGATGAATGAATGAAACAAAACTGGACAAATGTAATGAGGTTTTCATTGGGTGAAAAGATTCATAACTTGTTTTATAAATCTGAGATTAGGAGATTATTTACAGTACTAGTAGTTTTTACCGCTGTAAAGCTCCGTCTGTTCACATCTCCATCTGGACCACAGACACACACTGCAAAAAAATGCTTTCATTACTTCGAGTTTCAGTCTTGTCTCTAGTCCTAATATGTAAAACCTTTTAAATCAAGAAGCATTTCCAAGACAAGCAAAACATGTTGTCTTGTTTTCATAAATAACATGTTAAAATTAAGAATCTTTCTCACAGTGTGAAGGTTTCATAGATCATAAATCTTCATGTTACATCAGTGTCAATAAGAAAAAGTGTATGGAATTCATTTGTGACAGAATTGTCTTTTTTTTTTTTTTTGGTCAATATCTCTGTCTGCTTTCCCTGAGATGGGAAGGGCATCCGCTGCGTATAAACTTGCTAGATAAGTTGGCGGTTCATTCTGCTGTGGCGACCCCAGATTAATAAAGGGACTAAGCCGACAAGAAAATGAATGAATGTCTGTCTGCGGGCGGCATGGTGGCTCATTGGCTCAGCACTGTCGCCTCATAGCAAGAAAGTTGCTAGTTTGAGTCCCGGCTGGGTCAGCTGGCGTTTCTGTGTGGAGTTTGCATGTTCTCCCCGTGTTGGTGTGGGTTTCCTCCGGGTGCTCCGGTTTCCCCCACAGTCCAAACACATGCGCTATAAGCTAATTTGGCCATAGTGTATGGATGTGTGTGTGAATGTGAGAGTGTACGGGTGTTTTCCAGTACTGGGTTGTAGCTGGAAGGGCATCTGCTGTGTAAAACATATGCTGGAATAGTTGGTGGTTCATTCCGCTGTGGAGACCCCAGATGAATAAAGTGTGTTGCATAAAGCAGTCGACTTATCTTTGGCACTAATGGATCCTCATATTTATAATGTGTTCAATAAATAACTGTTAAGGAACATCATTCTTCTAATCAACTCATTAAAAACTCCTTAAAAAGCTTAACGGCACAGTGGAAAGCTGTGAAATGTAATGTAATGGACAAAACTGTGTACTACGCATTTAGTTATCTATTTATTAATTAATTGTATTGTTTTAATTTGACTATGTTATGTATTTATTGTCACCTTTTTAATTATTTGTTTGATCCCTGATGTTTCAGAATATTTTTATTCTTCATATATTTGCTCTAAAGATCAAACTGAATTTAATAAATATATATTTTCGGAATATATAAACTTATTAAAATAGAAATATAAGTCAGCAGAGTCCAGTCAGCATTCATAACCTTTCTTCAGAAGCTGGTGAGTTGTGTTTCAGTGAGGCTGTAATGCTGAATGCAGTGTGTTCTTGCTCTCTGGACAGTAAGGACAGTAGCGCAGTGCTTGGGTGACTGTTGCATAAGATCTTTATTTAGTAAAAGCCTCTCAACACAGGGAACTTTTCACTCCAGGAGTGACGCTCTGAAGCTCTGCGGTTTCATCCTCACATGCTCTAGTATTACAGCGCTGTTCACTGAGGCACCATACAGTGGAAAAATAGATCACATTTTTCAGTAAAGTCATGCTAGACACAATATGTGTCTGTCTGTCTGTCATTTGTCTGTTGGTCGTTCGTCTGTCTGTCTGTATGTCTGTCATTGGTTCATTTGTTCATCTGTCGTTCATTCTTCTGTCTGTTTTTTTGTTAGTTTGTTCGTTCGTTCATCTGTCTGTCATTCGTTTGTTCGTTTGTCTGTCTGTTGTTTGTCTGTCTGTCGTTTGTTCGTTTGTCATTCATTCGTCAGTCTGTCTGTCATTTGTTCGTCTGTCATTCATTTATCTGTCTGTCTGTTGTTTGTTTGTGTGTCTGTCGTACGTTTGTTCATTCGTCTGTCTGTCTGTCTGTCGTTCGTCTGTCTGTCTGTCGTTCGTCTGTATGTCTGTCATTCGTGCGTTTGTATGTCTGTATGTCTGTCATTCATGCATCTGTCTGTCCGTCATTTGTCTCTCTGTCATTCGTCTGTATGTCTGTCAGTCGTTCATCTGTCTGTTGTTCGTTCGTGTGTCTGTTGTTCGGTCGTTCGTCTGTCTGTTGTTCGCTTGTCTGGCTGTTGTTTGTTCGTTTGTCATTTATTCGTCTGTCTTTCGTTTGTTCGTATGTCATTCATTTGTCTGTCTGTTGTTTGTTCGTGTCTGTCGTTCATTTGTTCATACGTCTGTCTGTCTTTCGTTCGTCTGTCTGTCTCTCATTCGTCTGTATTTCTGTCATTCGTGCATCTGTCTGTCTGTCATTCGTCTGTATGTCTGTCATTCATGCATCTGTCTGTCTGTCATTTGTCTGTCTGTCATTCGTCTGTATGTCTGTCAGTCGTTCATCTGTCTGTTGTTCGTTCGTATGTCTGTTGTTCATTCGTTTGTCTGTCTGTCGTTCGTCTGTCTGTTGTTCGCTTGTCTGGCTGTTGTTTGTTCGTTTGTCATTCATTCGTCTGTCTTTCATTTGTTCGTATGTGGATTTGCCCC